ATATTATGTTTGTTTAATCTGGACAAAAAACAAAGTGTAGAAATATGCTCCTTGACACGAAATACCTTCTAAATGTGTTACAGCACTCAACTCCCCAGTAAAACCACAACATGTCATTTTTACACCACTGTGGGCAGAGCTATGCTAGCTGTTTCCCCCTGTTTCTTTTTTTGTGCTAAACTTAGCTGACCGCTGCTGGCTGTAGCTTCATATATTTCCCCACAGATATGAGATATGGTGTCAAGCCTGTCATCTAACTATCGGCAATAAAGCTAGTGAGCCTTTTTCCCAAATGTTGAGCTATTCTTTTAAGAGATACTGAGAATAGCCTTCAGTTTTAATTATGCAATTATTCAAGTATTATCTGCCTACTTGTATTTTTAATTTTAGTTTTTTTTCCCCTCTGATTTTTAAAATTCTTATGTCATTTATTATCGGGATGAGTTCAAAGATTCAATTATAACATTTCAACTTCTACATCAACATCTGAATGTTGCACAATTTATTTATTTATTTATCTCGCATGTCTATTCTTTTTGATTAAACCTGGTATTTCTGCACAGTTGCAGATAAGGATCTGGCTACACTAATGTTATTAGTATTATACTGTTTGTAGAATTAGATTCCAAAGGTGGCTGTGTAGGATTGTTTTTGACACAAGGGCTCCAAACATTTCTAACGACTCCAGAGCTCAATTCAAAGATGTTTTTATCGAAGGAAATATTCAGCCACATTTGTTGGCATTTAGCCTATAGACTGTATAATAATAGTGAAGACAGATGACATGACATCTCCCCAAAACTGAAGCCAAAACAAATCAATTGCCCTTAGGTGGCTGGCTGCAGAATAGGTAGTAAACCACGCCCCTTCCATGTTATCAGATGGGACGTGTCAAACTAAAAGATCAAAGATCACATCAAATAAATTCTTCACAAAGATGGTTTTGGTAATTTTAAGTAGTTCTTATCCCACTGATGTACGTTCAGGTGTTAGTGTTTCTTATAAATTTGGTTTGAAATTGTTATTTGATGGTATAAAAAAGGCAGTTTGACGTCACGATTGACAGCTGTGTGTGCCAGTCAGCGTTGGCACTGGGAATGGTCTGACGGGTGTATGGGTGGGAACTCAATACCGCAGAGATCGCTACTGCACCAGTGCAAGATGGTGATGTCTTTGGCTTCATTTTTGTACAGTGGGAGGCAGCGGAGACATGTTGTCCATCCTTATATAGTCACTGGTTTAGCCTCTTAAAAGAAAAAACAAAATCATTTTCACTGCGATCACAAATTGCTCTCCCACCTGCAGCACATAAAGGGAGGAATGGTCCTGTATTAATGGGCTGTCTAGACACAATGAAACAGCAACATAAATGACATTTATTCATTAAAGAAAGTTATTTCAATTAAAAAAAGAAAAGACAAACTTATTTAATCAAATGAATTTATTCAAACTGGGGATCGACATAAAACATGAAAAAAGCTTTGCTCGAAAAAACCTCAATCGAAGCTTGCAACGTAAAAAAATATCATTTGGTACAACCCTATCTATTATTCACAATTACCTCTACTTAAGTATTTCTTAAAATGTATTTGTATTCTATTTATTCTTATTCTAATATGTAGCACCACTAATAGTCATGGGGAAATGAAAGAGTGCATTGCATGCTTTATATTCCAGTTGAGTCTCACACCACTAGATGGTGTGCTTGTCTCTTCTCATTTACAGTAAACCACATCCCCAGATGGGTTGAGTTGGGAAAAGCTCTAACTGGAGAAGACAGACTCATATTGTCTTTGAGCATTATGCAACATACAAACCCGCTGGCTCACCAGGTTTTGGGGGGGTTTGAGTAAGACGTACTCAAATAATGCACTGCAATCACTATGAATACACAGCATATGGAGCAGCCGAGCAGCTCCTCATGACAAGCAAACAATCCTGCACTGTCTGAAACTCCTTTTCAACAGAGGGCTCATCCAGACTGCAAATTCACCCGCGGAGAGAAAAGAAATAAAACTCAATCCTCCGAATCTTTATCCAGACACTTACTCATTCATATTTGAGAGTCTGGCTGTCAGCCACGCTAACAAAAAGCTGTTGAAAGGCAGAATAAACACTGAACAAGGGGTGTGTATGTTCAGGTTGAGGGGTTCAGAATTGGCAGACAGAGGCTATGGAAACCCTTCAGCTCCAGTGTTTACAGAGTTGCTTTTAGTAGTGTTGGATATTTCAGTGCATGCCCTGTCACTTTGTCAAATATTTATTCAATAAATAACATAGAGCTTGTTTATTTCCCTTTCTTTAAGTTTCAATTTGTATTTTCAGTCACATTACAGTATGATTTTACAGGAAGTTATAAAGCAGCTGGTTGGTATTCAGCTAATATGGATGTTGTTAATATCAATTTAAGACTTGCTCTTTATGAGCCTACCATTAATTTTGAAGTCTAGAGAAAGAGCATCTTAAATACATGTCTGCATTCCTCCATTCCAGTGCTTTAATGTTCAGCAACAACATTCATCTTGCATCTGAGGATATAAAGCTTTATATTATCGACTCTTAGTGAGCTTCGCTGTTTCTCAAGGGCAAGATAAGAGCAGACATTTCCCTGTGCTGTTTTTGTGTTTCTTTTTTCCCTTTCCTCTGTAGCAGATGGTAAAGAGAAAATCACTTTCTGCTGGGGGCAGGATGCATCAGGGTCAGGGTTTAAGCTTTGAGGTCCACTCTAAACCTGGCCGATTTGACAGGACTATTTTGCATACGCTGAGTCTAATCAAATATATGCGGAAGGAGAAGGCGGGATTTGCAAAGCAGCTTGATACAGAGATACTGATTAGTTTAGGGATTTTACAGAACAGCAGGCTGGAGCCACACGGTCCAGACTGACAACAGCAACGTGCAGAAACAAACAGAGACTCACAGAAAGATTTTCAGTCCACACAGAGAGGAAAAAGGGGGTAAGAGATGATGAAGGTGTTAATATTGACAATCCAAAGGACCTCATTCGGTTTAAACCACGTAGACTAATACTGTATGATGAGAGGCAATCAGCAGTAAAAGGCAAAAATAATTGTCTTGCAATTCAAATGAATTGAGGTCTGCATAGAAACTTGACTATCTTTCAATCTTGTTTACCTGTTCATGCTTTGATTGAATTGATCTCCGAGGACAATGACAAATGATTGGACTTGAAAATGACGGATCCCTTACAGAATTAAAGTCAATGCCGAAAATAATGAGGCACTGAAATGTTCAAGTATGTCATTGTTGTGTCAACAGCAGCAAAACAAGGGCTGCCTGAGAAAAATCAACATGCTCCCCGCACAATTATACTGTAGCTAAAAACGAATGCAGCCACTGACATCATGCTGGCACGATGATGCACCTTATTCAAATGCTTCATATGCTCATATTGTTCTGAGCGCAGCACACCATGAATCATTACCAGCTTATGCAGATGAAGCCACTGCTTTATACGTCTTATGTGATCCATTTACAATTAGGGACTTAGAAAAGCACCACATACATGGTTGGAGCGGCCCGATGAACAAACAGGACTGTTACATAATACCTCAAATCAATGAAACATGTATATTTAAAAAGCTGCTCGGAAGGAGGTTTTCTTTACAGTAGGACAAAGTTCATTTTGCAGGAAAGGAGGCAAATTACTTCGAGGCCATTTGAGCCATGATATAAGCCCACATAAACATAACACCTACAAGGAGGGCCTGTTTAGAATCCCTTTCTAACATATCTCAAATGTACATGCGTGGGCATATATATTTCTTACATGTTCCAGCCAAGCTGATGACTAGCCTTGGGACAAGATTGTGCGTAATGCCACAAAGCTAAAGATGGTGATGGCTTGTTCAGTTCGACACAAATACATCCAAATGTGTTTTCTTACCCTTAATCCTATTCTTAAACACTGAGGAGGAATATTCTAAACTGATCTCAGAGTGAAGCCTTCCACCTCACATCACTACTTTCAGTTTCAAGCATCCATCTTCCCGTGGACTCCACATCTGCTCCCATCAGCCCACCTTTAGAGAAGTGAACCCCATCCGGCGAGCCCGGATCCACGGGGAACCGGCTCTGTGCCTCGGTGTGGTGCAGCGTGAGTGAGTGAGTGGGAGTCAGTCAAAGCCCCGAGCACTTATAGGGAGGGGGGGTGGAGGGTTGGGGGTAGCAGTGAAGAGGTGGCTGCTGGGAGGCAAAGCTAATTCACTGTGACAGAAATCAGAGCTGTCAGGCCCACCATGACCAAACAGCATGGACAGCATATATCCAGTCAAACCCACAGCCAACGGGAAGGAGGGATGTCGGGGGCTCAGAAAGAAAGGGGGGATGTACTGATTAAGGCACTTAGAGAGAAAGAGAGAGTGTGTGTGAGTGTGTGTATGTGTGTGCCGGGCAGGAGTAGGCAAGCAACATCCATCCACTCAAAAACCACTAAAATAGAAACGACAAGGTAAAGAGGCACACAGGTAAGAAGAGACCTTCACAGTCAGCAATACTTTCAACACAGGACAAGAGATGAAGAGGGATGGACGGAATTTGCCAAATTCAAGAAAGAACAGGTGTATTTACAATGATAAGTAAACCGCCATCCACACGGAGTGAGACACACACAAAAAAAAAGAGTAAAATACAGTAGGCATAGCTAAGTTTCAGTCCTCTGGGATTATTGGTGAAAGGTTACCGGATAACACATGTAATATTCATGAGGAAAGCTCCTAGGTTCTACTAATCTGTTATTAAGCAAAACACTAAAAGTTTAATGGAATAGAATATTAATAGAATATTGTGAGAAAACTGATATTGTTGAGAGACGGAGAGGGAAAGATAGAGAGAGAGAAGGGCAGCCACCAGCATCATTACTTAATGATGAGAGAGGGAGACACCAGGCTGGTCTCTTAAATGACACAGAGGAGGAGGAGGGGATTGTGGGAGATTAAGTGAGCTCTGTGCTGTTTGTTATACACTGCAAAGCACTGCAGGATGTTTGTTGAGCGGCAGTCTCATTTGGGATGAGGAGAAAGCCGGCAGGGGGACCTTAAACTTGGCTGAGGAGAAAGGCGAAAGCATTGTTACTCCAGCGCCTCGGGAGGAGGATCTGAGTAGAAGATAAGGATTAGACAGCAATGTTATGGGTATTCATTGATAGGATACAACTTCGAAGAAGAAAAAGCCCAGGAAAGTTGGAGCCTCATGTTGCCGCTAAGCAGTTTACTTTGGATTTGTGGTTTGAAGTGGGTCCCTTTTTTTTTTGAGGGGAGAATGGGATTAAATAAGTGAGCCAAATTGCTCACTTGTCTGGCAGTGGTATGAACTTTTCCCCTTTCTGCCTGCAATTTCATACAGACTTACAAGTCAGTAGAGGGAAATCTTTTTGAACTGATCTCGGATGTTCAACGTCAAGTCACCTGATAATAACTGGGAAGAAACATCTTTTTGAGGTGTAAGTATTTGTGAGTATGACTTCTAAACAAAATATGTTGAAAAGTTTCAAACTTATTCAACAATGATTCACAGCTGCAACGATTAGTCGATCGACAGGGAATTCATTAGGAACTATTGTGATAATCACATTAATTATTTTGAATCAAAGCTCCAGTGTGTAGGATTTAGAGGCATCCATTAGCAGGGATGGTATGTAATATTCAGAACTATATTGTCATCAGTTTATAATCACCCGAAACTAAGAATCATTGTGTTTTCATTGCCTCCGAATGAGCTGTTTATATCTACATACAGAGCTGGTCCTCTTCCACAGAGTACACCATGTTGTTTCTACAGTAGCCCAGAACGGACAAACCAATCACTGGCTCTAGACAGGGTCATTCACGGTTTTACATAGGCCACTGTAATTCTTCTACACGCTTGGCACATAGGAGAAGTTTCAGTTCTGCAACCTGACCACTAGATGCCACTAAGTCCTACACACTGGACCTTTAAAGAAGAAAATGCCCAAATTTTCTAGTTCCAGCTTCTCACATGTGAATATTTTATCTTCCATAGCAGTGAACTGAATACTTTTAAGCTGTCAGATAAAAATAAGACATTGTGAAAATCTGTAGTGCATTTTTCACTGCTTTCTGACATTTTAAAGACCAAATGATGTATCAATTAATCAAGCAGCCCTACAATGATTACTGCACCAAATAATCATTGTACACATAGAAACATCTCTAAATAGTCTGAGGTGAATATGTGTGATTCAAAAGCTGAAAAGATTTTCCTAGGGCAAAAGGGACATTTAAACCATTTTCATCTTCTGCCACACATAAAGAGGGTTCCTGCATGGCATTAACCTTGCAGTCATATTATGTGTCTGTTGAACTGCTCAAACAGCAGGTGGGTCAAAAAAGAATGGCTTTATAAATATATCTTGCTGTTTCTCATTTGATTCTTATCTGACCAGGGGGAATCAGAGGGATTAGAAAGCTTGAAGGATCTGACTTCAGGAAACATGACCTCTGTACTGAATCCAGGCCCTCTCCTGCTGCTGCTATGTCTCCTTCATGGCTCTGAGGAGACCTGTCCCTCCATGTGCCTCTGTGTATCCGACACAGTGAGCTGTAGCTCCAGTGGTCTGGCAAAGCTACCTCAGTCCCTGCCACCCTTCTCTGTCACCCTCGACCTCAGCCATAACCATCTGTCCTGGCTGGGTGCGGGCAGCTTCAACAGGATGCCCAGACTGGAAAACCTTCGGCTGACCCACAACCAGATTGGCTCCCTCGGCCATGGGTCGTTTAACAACGCCTCCAGCCTCAGGCACCTTGACCTGTCCTCCAACAAGCTGCATGTGGTGGAGCAACACTACTTTCAGGGGCTGTGGAGGCTGGAGGAGCTCCTTCTCTACAATAATAAAATTGCACAGGTGGAGGCCGGTACCTTGAGTGGCCTGAGCAGCTTGAAAAAGGCTTACTTCAGCCTCAACCAGATCACACACTTTCCGTTCTTCTCCATCCAAGACCACAGCCATCCTTTTCTATCCATGCTGGACCTCTCGTCCAACCGTATGAGTCGTCTGCCATGGGAGGATGTGAAAGCTCTGCCTGGGTTGGTGCAGCGGGGGCTGTACCTGCACAACAACTCTCTGATCTGTGATTGCTCTATGTACAGCGTGTTCTGGCATTGGGATCTGAGGGATTATGACTCACTGAGAGACTTCACGGATGAGCACACTTGCACCATCTATGGGAACCCACGAGCGTCCATCCGGTTCCTGCGACACTCCCGCTTCTTCCAAAACTGCACTTTAGAGAAAGCTGTGTCAATGCCAGTGACCGTGCTCCTCTCCAATGTGGTGGTTTTAGAGGGAGAAAGAGTGCATCTAGACTGCCAAACGTCCCTGAGTAGCACAGACCTCACATTTACATGGCTCTCCCCCAGCAAGGGGTACATCACCCAGAGTAGCATAAATGACACACTAATTAGCCTGTTTCCTAATGGTACCTTGGAGATCCAAGCAGTCAAGGTCAATGACTCAGGTTTGTATGTGTGCACAGCGGTGGATATTAAACAAGCACTGAATGCGACCCGGGAGGTGAATGTGACGGTGCTGCTGCCCCCAGCAGAGCCCTTCAACACCGGCTACACAACATTGTTGGGCTGTGTGGTGACCATGATCTGCATCCTCGTATACCTCTTCCTGACTCCGTGTCGCTGCAGCTGCTGTAAACAGCCCAAACCTCCAGCCATCCCAATTGCAACCTATGACCCCAGCACTCTAACCTCTGTTTTCTCCCCCTCCATAAGAGACCAGCACAAAATCCAACCTAACAGGCACGTAGCATTCATGGAGCCAATGTTAAGTGAAGAAGGAACAGAATGGACACCTGAAAGTTGATGCTGAACAAGGTTTTCTCCTTTTTCTTTTTCGAAGTGGACTCCTGGACAAAGTAAAACTCCTTACTCAGGAATTAGCTCAGAGATGCAATGAGAGGTGTGTTAACGCTGTAAAGGAAAAAGAACATCATGTCTCTATCCCGACTGCCAGCTGCAGTTAAACGGCCTCCTGAACAAAAAAAGCAATATCTCCTGTTCCAATTCTGCTTCTCTCTGTCATCTAGCCCAGTAGTCGAAATGAAAGTTTCAACTGTGGTTTATTGCCCTCGGTGTACTGACATTGCTAAATCACAGTAGAGCCATTATCAGCCCTAAAAATCAGCTAATAACTTCTCTGTGTACTCAGGTACGGCACTAGGGGGGAATATTTCTCGCGGGATCAGAGAGTGAATCTGGCTCACTTTTCACAGAAAGTGTTTAACGAGGATTAAAACCCCCGGAAAAACGCTGCAAGTTCATGACTGTGACAGACTGCAGAAAGTAAATTCATCCTGTGTTGAGTTGAGGTGCTTTAATTGGTGTGGTAGAGATAGGCACTTGCACTGCATCAGCTGAAGATAACTCATAATATACAGCTTATATTTCTTATACTATGTAGCTTAAACACGGAGCACCTAAACTCTATCCAACCCCTGAAAACTTATGTTGCCTGTGTTCCTAATAAAGGATTTGTTCCCTTTAGACCAGTTGCCTGCTCTGTTGATACAGTTTTGGTTTTGAAGGCAATTTTAGCAAATCCATTATAAAAAAAAAAGAGGAATTAAGATACAGCAAGAAAAGCAATGAACATTTCAGTGCAGAAGCCATTGCTTTCAGCAAGCATTTAAAAATCTTATCTAGCAGAAAACAGAGGTGCATCCTGCAGTGATCCATCATACATAAACATATCGCATATGAACCTGGCAGCCAAAAACAATGACTCTCTATCTACACTCTGCTTATCTGGCAAATAGTGAAGTACAGAAATCAGGAGTGTCAACAAACCAAAAACAAACAGCAATTGGACTGCTCTTCAAAGACGACATCTCTTTGATCAAACACAGCAGAGCACTTTGAACACTGCGGAACAAACACAACCACAAAATTTGAGCTGAAGTGACAAATACTTCAAGCAGCTCTGACGCAAACCCCCAAAGAGCATTACTTTGTACAGCTTTGTTTTTTCTTTTTAATTCAGAGTAACATGCTTCATATGACAGAATTACACACAGCAATGCCAGAGATGAAAGATGCCGAGGAAGGACTTGCATGCACTGCCATGAAAGAACATAAGTGTGTGGGATGAGAACATTAAGTCGATGACATGAAAGACCAAAGAGAGCATATGGGTGGTCAGGGATGAAGGGATATTTAAAACCCGATGAGAGAAACAGTAGCCTCAAAAGAAACAAATCAATTTCTTTAAATCCATGCATCCATAATGTTAAAGATTGCACTTTAATCTTAATGCAAACACAGGGTGGGACTAAGGATTGCATCGAGATTGAATAGGATTAGATGTAATCCTTCTTATAATGTCAGAGAGAAGTTGTCTGTAACCACGCATCTCACAAAGGAGAGCATGTCGTTGGAGGAGGGGCCTTTGATTATTTCTAAATCCTTAATTAAAACTTGACTCCTTTCAAGCCCGAGGAGAATATTGTTGTGCAGCTTGAATGTAAATTGAGAGACAAAAAAGGTGGAAATCTAAAATCAAATGTGCAGCCGTGCATGAAACTGGGACAGACAAGCTCTTTGACAGTGCTCAGTTTCATCACTATTAAACTCCCGGGGATTAAGCAAAAATCCGTAAGAGACTAGGAGAGCACTATATTGTGATGCACCACTCTGTTTAATCACACCACTACCGTTATATTTAGCAAAGTTTTCACAGTGGTAAGCAACATTCAAATTTCTGAACGATTATGTAACGCTGTGTGTGATGTAACATCTCGTATCAGAAACATGACCCGTTGTTTTTCAGAGACACTATATTAGAGACATTACATGGTGCGATGCCTTGGGGTTAGGTTTTAGGATATTACCACGAGGATAAAAACCAGGTGCTTTGGCAATTTCAGTGTTTTTAAATCCTTTTAATCAGGTTCCACTCCCTGACACAGCACACACAGCTGGGTTAGGATTTATTGTTTCTGATATGATTAGCAGACGGGTTAAAACATAGAGGACATGATGTGAGCATTTCTATTCAAGGGCTTTCTATTTCACAGAGGGTCCACGGGTGACCCCGGCTGTGTAACCACGCTGCTGATTTAGGGAATCAACCTCAGTGTAGGCAGCATGTCAGAGTCAGAATGAGTGAAGTTAGTATCCTGATGCCATTTGGTATCCAGCATTTCATTTTAACCTTGTGACAGCGAGTACTTTACCGATAATGGGAGGCCTCAGCAGTGCATTTAAAAAAACACAAGTATAAAAAGCACATCATAAATTATAATTTTTTGCTTTACGAAAATCTATACATATTCGAGTCATTTGAAATATAAGGAGGTGGCAGACAGACAGATTTAGTTTGCTGAAATGTTCTGAATAGTCCCAATAATTACATTTTAGAGGAGCTGTATGCGACATTCAGAGCATTAATATAGCAGCAAACAACTATTTGCTATGTACAGATATGGTGCAGTAATGGTGTCCTGAACAGAGAATAAAGTGTGTGCTGTAATCTGATCTTCGCTGTTGTTTGTTGTGGTGGTCGACCCAGATGCAAATGCTTGTTAGTGCATTTAAGTCCCTGTGTGTGTATCTCACTGGCTAGCAGATTGCAGGCATTCTGCACTGTGCTCATACGGCGGTTTCTGCTGCTAAATGGTAAATGGACTTGCATTTATATAGCACCTCTTTAGTCCTCTGACCACTCAAAGCACTTTACACCACATGCCATATTCACCCATTCACACACACATTCATACACTAATGACAGAGGCTGCAATGCAAGACGCCAATCTACCCGTCAGGATCTACTCTAATATTCTGATCACCCGATAAGTGGACGATCCTGTTTTTCCTCCTAAACCACTGCTGCCCTGCTGTCTGGACCCACGGTGGCGTAACAGCATCATCGTGGAAATGCAACATCAACCCTCTGGTTCCCTTATACATTAACACCATTAGCTCTGTCAGTACTGTTGCCTTTGTTAAGGCACTGTTAGCACCATTAGCTGCCGGCTCCACCACCTCCATGTTAAAAACCGTGTGCAGGCAATCCTAGCTAAGACTCTGATTCACAACTCCTTTTACACAGCCAGTTCAAGACAGGAATTTTTTTGTTTGCATGCCTTACTGTTCTTTCTAAAAGGTACAGTCGCAAAATCAAGGTACAGAGCTGTCTCGCCTTTAAGTCAGTAGCAGAGGTAGCAATAGTACCAAATCAATGTCTGTGTGAAAAGGACAGATGGCAGGACGGGACCATGGACGAAGCGGGTGTAACGTGTTGACGACATATAATGTGTGTGACCTATCACTGGGAAATTTAAAAAGCAGCTAGCGGAAGATAGCAGCTAACTTAAAGGAGAAGAAAAGCACCAGAAATGGTCCACAAACTGGGGAGACAACAAGGTCCAGGAGCCGCTTACCCTCCGCTCAGAGGGCAAGATCAGCTGCCATATAACAGGGACGATAAACGATTGTTATTGCTATGTTCTGTCATTCTTATTGTTCAGAAAGCGCTGTATGTTTAGAAAGACGTGTGTATGTTATATAAATCAACAGTCGATTTCCTTCTTTTAGCAAAATCCTAAATGACTGAGTTGGTTTTGTTTCCACGTGGACCTTTATGCTCTGCCATTTCTCCTCTAATCATCACACTGTACCCTGTGACAGGCTGTTATGCTACGATAACTACTGCACAGTCACATATATGTATTTTTCACAAGTGTCACGAAGGTTTGTGTGTTACATGTCATGCTCATCAGACCTTCTGTGTAAAAAAAAAAAAACCAAGGACTGTAAAGAAGGGCCATTATAGCAGCCCTATGGCACAATCTCTATGTAAAAAGGCCTATAGATATTCTCTGAATGTCGCATGCAGCTACTTAAAAAAAAACACATCAGTATTTCCAGGCTACACAGAAGGGTGCAAGACTGCATTGCTGTGTCTAAAAATTACCCTGAACTGCACTAATAAATCACACAAATGTAAAAAGACCAGTTGATGCTTTAAAAGTTGCCCCTCTCCAAAGCAAAACACTCCATCAGGCTTCAATTAAAACATGCACTCCCTCTCCAGATTAATTGTTTTCCCTAGTTCATCTGAGCTCCAAGGGATTCGAAATCATCTTATTCAAGAATCTAATTACTGTGTAAGGGGTGTTTTACTCTGAATAGCACAAGTTGAATTGCTTCCACTAGAGGAGGGCTGCCGTGACTGTCAACGGGGGCTATTACTGAACTGTCAAAACAGTCATCAGGCAGAAGTGGAGGCATCCAGCTGTGGCAGATATGTATACATCTTTCAGACGCTGTGACACCCACAAACACAAGCTCGGCTGAGGCCCAATGTCACCAAGCTGACTGAAACCCTTATTTCATTCTAATTGGACACTTTACTTGGAATATGTGCTCCAAAAACACACACACAGCACTTGTTTCAGAACAGTCCACCAACCGGCCATACTTTACTGTAGATCTGTTTTTTTAGGAGGTAAGCTGGTTTGCTTCCCAAAAAAGACTAAAATAAATGTGGACTGCTGCACACCAGACAACAGGCTGTTTATCATACCTCTGCACTGAATATGAACGCAGGCCATTTTCTGTGTTTCCAGCAGGATGAAGCAGCTGGATGTCCAACAAGTCAAACAGGATTCTGGTCTCAGGCCGATTACTGTGGGGGACATTGCACATGACTGCCTCATTAATCACATGCATAGATCCACTCATTTCATTACAAACAAAACAAAAATCATATGCAGTGATACGCCTTTATCTAAGCCATTCAGCATGTTGGAAACAATATTCTGGCTCACTGTCTCTCCAGGGCTGTTATGGGCTTCAGTGAGTATAATTTAGCTGGATATTATAAGATTTGACAAGCACAATGACTCAAAGTATTTTAAGTTTTACATTGTTGCTCACGACCACTTTTCTACAACATCCTCTTGTCTTTTTATTTTTCCTCTGTGCTCAGCTTGTGTCATTTCTTCCACCAGCTTTATTGTACCATGTGGTAATGGTGCTTTCCTTGTTATTATCTGTCACACTTGTCCACTAAAAGACAACAATGAACTCTGATGAAATATGGCTTTATTATTTCCATTAAAAAAGACCTGTGCTGTCACAGACAGTATAGGTATCCTATCTGCAATGTCTTATAGTGTCAGTGATACTCAGTAAAGTAATTTATGGTGCTATTTTCTTTTCTCTTTTTTTGCCATACTAGCGGCATGGCTCTAGGGAAGCACTGTCACTTGGTCCACTACTTTGGTTCAGACTGAAATATCTCAACCACTAAAGGATGGATTGCCATGACATTTTGAGCAGACAGTCATGGTCCCCAGAGAATGAAACTTGCTGACTTTGGTGATTGTCTAGTGCAGCCAGCAGGTTGACATTTATTACTTTTAGTAATATATCTTGACAACTATTGGATGGATTGGCAGAGAATTTGGTGAAGACTCTCATCATTCACAGGCGATGAGTACCTGAGACTTTGGTGATCCGTTGCTTTTCCCTCTAGTATCACT